AGGTAGCAATTGATGAAGAAGCACGTGATAATCATGAGTTTTAAGCCCTAATATTTTCCTTTCTTGCACCTGGACATTGTTCGATATGTTTGTAGAGTAACCCTTTGGTAACTTTATTGATTTGAGGACTTGACAAAATGTTTGCATCTCAACTTTCGACATCATAATACGAGATGCAGACAACTCTAATCTGTCATTTTCAACAATTTTTGGCTGCAGTTCCTCTCTAATGTTCAATACAGTTAGATCTTGATGAGCTCGTAGATCATCCTTTGATTTATTAGCATCTTGCAACAGTGTGGACAAAATATTATCACAAATATTTTTTTTAATGTGCATAACGTCCAAGTTGTGACGTATTTTTAGCTCTTTCCAATAGGGGAGTTGAAAAAAATGCTGAATTTTGTCCATCCTGAAGGTAATTTTACGACTTCAGCCCCATCACTCACCATTTATGCTTGTCTCTTTCGTTTTGGTATCCTTTTGTTAATACACAAGTTCCTTACTCCAAGTAAATCTTCTTTCGAATAGCGCTTTTTTCCAAACCTGACAGCAGGGAACCTCTCAAGCAAATGTACAATCTGATCTCTACCTAATAGGCGCGGAGCATCTCTCTTCTCAACAGTACCATCAAAAAACTTGCTTCATTTTTTTGTTCTGCACCTGTGTTTTATGTTCAACCACCTTCTGTTAAACCAATAACAAAACTTTCGACTGTGCTGCAGATAAAGACCTTTGAATTCTGGACCACACACTGGACACGCATATGTTCCCTTTGTAGACTAACCTAAAAGATTCGCATAGGCTGGAAAATCATTAATTGTCCATAGTAAAATAGCACGTAGTCTGAAAGACTGTTTTGCATGAGTATCATATGTCATAACCCCTTCAGTCCAGAGTTGTTTTAACTCATCAATTAGTAGTTCTAAAAACACATCTATGTTATTGCCTGGTGTATGCTTGCCCGATATCAATAATGAAAGTATCATATACGATTGTTTCATGCAAAGCCAAGGCGGTAAGTTATAAGGCGTTAATACAACAGGCCATGTAGACCAACCGGAACTCATTATCCCAAATGGATTGAATCCGTCGCTAGACAAACCTAGTCTAACATTCCTGCACTCGTTCGCAAACCAAGGAAAAGTTTTATCCACATGCTTCCACGCCTCTGCATCGGCCGGATGTCTGATTTTACCATCATCAATACATTCTTTCATGTGCCACCTCATTTGCTTGACAGTATCTTTATTCATATACAACCGTTTTAGCCTTGGTATTAAGGGAAAATGACGAAGAACCTTTGTTGGAATCTTCTTTTGCTTAAGCATAGACCTTGCTGTCCCATGCGTTGAATAATTTTTACGTTGTACCCATCGTGATACTCCACAAATTGGACACTCCTGAAGATCTTTGTTATCCTTATAGTAGAAGATACAATCATTAGGGCATGTGTCGATTTTATTGTAATCAAGTCCTCTAACGAAAACAATCTTCTTTGCGTTATCATAATTTTTTGGTATGCTCTCTTTTCCATTTGGAATGATTTTTCTCAGTAACACAAGCAACATATTAAAATATTTATCTGTCATTCCGTTAAGAGACTTTATACGCAAAAAAAGCAGCATAAATGATAACCTGGTGAACTCGGTGCAACCCTCATACAGATCATTTTCATTGTCGTCTATTAATTTCATTATCTGCACCAGCTCCTCATGATCAGTCACGCCTCCAGCATTTCCTGACTCGTCAGCATCCTCGGCATCTTCAGTTTGATCTATATTAGGAACTGTTAACATATCTGCGAGCATCGTATGTGTACCATCTATTCTCGTATCATCTATTCTTTCACCGCACGTACCGGTATCTGCCATCAGTTCCATTTCTTCTAGACATCCTTCCCCATGAAACGTCTAATATTTGTACTTCTCATGAAATCCTGATATTAAGTGTTTTTGTAAATCACTTTTATCCACCAACGCCTTATTTTTACACCAACAGCAGGGACAGGATAATACACGACATCACTATTTAACTTCCGTGGGTCTGCCAAAGCGTACTGTATGAATTGATTTATTCCATCTTTATATCGACTATCCCTCCATCTATCAATACGAGGAATATATTTATTCCATCTTTATATCGACTATCCCTCCATCTATCAATACGAGGAATATCGATCCATGATTTGTTAGGAACTATCCTCATCTGTATGACTATCCCTCCATCTATCAATACGAGGAATATCGATCCATGATTTGTTAGGAACTATCCTCATCTGTATCATATTAAGCATAATTAGGTAATGTGAATTTTTATTAGTAACGCATCAAATTAACGATTTTGTGATATTAACTTTCTTCACGATATCAAGGAAATTCAAATTATAATAATCTCAGAGGGGAAATTACCAGAACATAAATTATGTGGGAGTAAAATCTAACGCTCATATTTTCAATAAGAGACTTTAACGGCTGTCATAGAAAATGGACCTATCCCATTATGAATATAGTAGTGTCTACAACTACCTTTATATACTTTATGCGTTTTTATTTCTAAAAAATTTCGGCAGCACCTACACGCTGTTCTCCGAGTACACTATGCGGATGTTATAATGCGTATCAATCATCGATAATAGATCGATACGCAAAACAACATATGCTTATTGTACAGGGAGAACAATGCAGTACGTGTTATCAAAATTTTGTAGGAATAAAAATACATAAAGTATACAAAGATAGACGATACACTACTATATTCCTAACCTGTACGAGAGGGGGAATCTTCCCCGGACAGATCTAATAATTATTGCATGTAGATCGTGCTCCTAACATAAATCACGTTATTCTCTTTAGATGTAAAAAGTATTTTCACATCAAACTAGAATTGCGCGAGTATATCAGAAGAGATTTACATCTAACAATATTAGACGGGAAACTAGGGGTAACGACTTCTGATTCATAAAATCATGATATATAACACAATACAATCTCGATATGTCTAACTAATCAAAATTTTTAGTTAAGATAAAGGCTAAATATCAGTAAATCTCCATTAACTTTGGGACTATTATCAGATAACCCCTCTTAATTTTCAAAATATCAGAAACCCCCCTTATTTTGATCTTCATATTAGGAAAGATAATTAAACTTAGGTGTCAACATTAAAACCCATCAATATCCAATTTTGAACTGAAGAATTAAAAAAGGACAAAAAATTACCGCTTGGATCTCCTGCACTACAATCCAAGAAAACGTAAGACCCGCTTGGATCTCCTGCACTGCAATCCAAGAAATCAAATCTTAAATCAGAAACAACAACAAAACCTAAAATCACAACAAAAGAATTTTAAAAAATCACTGACAAAGAGATCTCTGTGAGTTGAGCGGGGGTGGTGCTGCGGCGAGCTCCGGCGAGAGACCGCTACGAGTCTGAGCGGGGGCGGTGCCGCGGCGAGCTACGAAGTCGACTTGGGTTCGGGGCCTCGGCGCGCGGGTGGTGGAGTTGGAGAGGAATAGCAGGAGGTGATGGCGAGGGTGAGGCGATGAAGTCGACTGGGGTTCAGGAGGTGATGGCGAGGGCGGTGGAGTCGGAGAGGAGAAGCGGGACGTGATGGCGAGGGCGAGGCCGGCGGCGAGTCAAAGCTGAGAGGGGATGTCGAGGGCGGCGGCAAAATTAGGGTTTTTTCTGTGGTAGAAACAACAAGAGGGGCACGGTAAAAAACAATTTATATCAAACATCGCTGACGGGCTTCCCGTCAGCGATGTTTATTTCCCGTAGGCGATGATCACATCGCCGACGGTTATAAGGCATTTGTGATGACAATAACGCTGACGGGAATTCCCGTCAGCGATATAAACATCGCTGACGGTAAATTCCCATCAGCGTTGTTGCCGTCAGCGAAACATGGTTTTCCACTAGTGATGCTTGCTCTCATTATTTTATTCATTATTTAAACATGTTTGTTCCTATAATTAACAATTTAAAAATAGTGAAATTTAAATTTTGTCTATTTTTAGTCAAAACTGGGAAGATTAAAATACATGTGAATTTGAAGAAAAAAGGTTAAAACAACCCGTTTTTACTATGTGAGTGAAAACACACCTTTATTCCGTAGAAACTTTGAAATCACAAACTTCTTTAAAATCATAGTCTATCAAAATATTAGTCCACAAATTTCACTTAAAGCACAAATTTTCACTTAAAAGTATATCATACTAATAATTCAAATTAAAAAAATGAAATATTGTTATTAAAAGACACTTTTTTTAATTTCTAATTTTTTTCAAATGTCTAAGCACAGCCACTGCTACGCCTCTTACTGCATTCAATTTCATCATGGTTCAAATTAAAAAAAAAATTGAAATATTGTTATTAAAAGGCACTTTTTTTGTAATTTCTATTTTTCTTCAGATGTCTAAACATAGCCACTGCTACGCCTCTTACTGCATATTCAATTTCTAATTTTTCTTAGTTTGAAGAAATTTGTAGATTTTCTTTCAGTTTTTGTAATTTTCTATTTTCTTATACTAATTTGATAATTAGTTCTATTTTTCCATAGTATTCGAATATTCGATAATTATTCGCGAATATTCTTTAATAGTGTTTGTGTGATCTTTGCAAATTATTCGGTCCATATTCGTTAGATATTCAACAAATATAAGTTATCATTGTCTTGCAATAGAGCCAAACATGATATACATGATGAATATGCAACGTAATAATATATAATATTCACAAATAAAAATTCATTTCTTTATATTTACAAGCAGCGAAATCAAATTTTAATGACTAAACTGTATAACGAATGGTTTATTAAACAAACAAATCAAATAGGTATACCTATGGTTAATTTCTATTCACCTATTATGAACCAAATAATAAAGATCACGCATTTATTATTAAATGAACTATCGAATAGATTATGACCAAATACTTAGGCAAATAGAATCGAACAGTTTGTTAAATATTTGGTTCATCTCCACCGCTAAGCAAAAGTGGTGAACTAATAGCCCCAAACTCCCCCAAAAATAAGTAGTGGTAAATCTTCCCCTCTCTTGCCCCTTGGTCCCAACTTCAGGTCTCACAAACTTTGCTTGGGTCCCCAACTGCGCGATTTGAGTCGCTTGGTCCATGCTGCAAAATATGATTTAACATGCATCAACAGTATTGCAGAAATAGAAGCTACACAATTACACTGTCATATTCAAGAACTAGTGTTTTTCATGCAATAAGAGCTTTTAGTGCTCAAACATGTGTCCCAAAAAGAATTGACATTTTGAACGAAACTTTTTGACTTTTCTCCAACCAAAAAAAAATGGCTAGCATAACAAATCTTGACAATGGTATTTTGTTCAGAACTGTGCAGTTAGAATCATCACAGTAAATATTAAATACACAGTCAATATTCATAACCACATCTCAATAACAAACCTATCCAAATAAATCAGTCAAAAAAAAGAAAATAATTGCTGGAAGAATCCTTTAGAAACGAACCCATCCAAGAAGGCGAAAATTACTGAGTCAGAATCACAATAGTTAATGCAATAGAAAATTACTGAGTCAGAATCACAATAGTTAATGCAATAACCCCATAAATAGAACTGAGTTGAGAAGAATAAAAGGGTAAAAGAATTAACCTGTTACAAAAGAAACTAGAGAGAAAGAAAATCGAGCGGGAGGATTTTAAAAAATGGGCTCCGCGAAGTTCGTCGCCAGTGTCTTTAAAGTTCGCCATCATTGGAGTTGTCTCTTGAGGTTGTTAGCGTTTTAGGAGATTTAGGAGTTCAGCTTAGACCGAATATACTGACCGAAGTTTAGTGGTTCGGTTCAGACATTCAGTTTTTAAAAATATGGTTCGGTTTAAAACCAAACTGATCGAACTCATTTGCACCAAATAAAACACTTCAAACTAAATCCATGTCTATTCCTAAAACTTATGCAGCTATTATTGTGGTGGTTTAACTCATATAAATACATCGAGGTCATTCTTTTTATCAATGATTCAACATGAATTAGGCTTGGCGACTTCAGTTCATAAATTGTGCACTTTAGAATTGGGTGGGCTTGGAACCAAATGTAAATCTTTACATGAAATAGCAATTGAATGTAGTGGCGAAAGTTAAAAGTCTGAGTCTTGGAAAACACTTTAAGCATTGTATTCACTTCGGACTAGGATCCTGACATTAAGCAACACAAATAGAACTTTCCTATTTCCATTGGTATTTGAGGTCTTTAGGTAAGGGGGAGCATGAAACTTCAGGTTTACATTATTTTGTGCAGAGTTTGGTCCCAAACAAACCCAAACTAAGCTGACCGAACAGCTTTAGGATGGATTGGTTCAGTTTTGAATCATTAACGGTTTGGTATCGGTTTGTCAAAATTTGAACAAAATCAAATCAATCGACCGTTTGCTCGTCCCTAGCCAAGGCTCCTTAATGAGATAAAGCGGAGATGACCATTAAGATGAAAAACTACTGGAATTCCACAAATCACTGGTAAAGACAGGGTAATCAATTTAACAATTTGATTTTAAATGCATGCCCAAAAGAATGCCTAAACATGAGATTTGCATTTGTGCCACCCTAGATTTAAATCCAGGACCCAAAACCCATGTTCCCAAACAGACCCTAAATGTTTTTCAATCAGGTTTGTGGTAAGCACTGGTAAGCACTCAACAAACAATTGACAGATAAAAGACCAGGACAACTCATTATTCTACATAGAAAACCCAATGAATTAAAGAATACTAGCTACACATGGATCCATAGAGGAAAAATAATTGGCAAAATCATGTGAGGACCTCGTTTGCTAAATCACTCACATTTTTAACAAGCGGAGACTACTTAATAATCAAGGACATACCAGGTTAAGATGGTCTACCAAATAACATACCTTTATAAACAGATAGTTGTATGTCACTAGTCAAAGGTGAACCACTATATAGAATAAGAATTTCTTAGCAAAGATGTTCTCTTCAAGTAACAATGAAAACTCAAAATTTTCATTTAAACCAATAAACAATATAATATTGCTTATCTAAACTGGAAATCTAGCTTGGATGATTCCATCCTTGGATGCAATTCTCAAACAATATAATATTGCTTATCTAAACTGGAAATCTAGCTTGGATGATTCCATCCTTGGATGCAATTCTCAATGGGAATTCATTCACATACTCAATTTGACTTTGCACAATAAATTGCTCTATATGTCCAATCTGCCTTGCATACCCAAAAAAGCCAAAACAGGCCATGTTTTGATTGAAACTATTGCATACTGAACAAGACGTAGAGAGTGATAGAGGATTGAAAGGCTTCTTCTCCAAATTGGTATATGCATAATGGTTCGGTTCAAATTTATAAATCTTGGTAATGAGTAGACTCCAATCATGCCAATAAGACGATGAACAATGTTACATTAAACGTTGGGCGCTTCTAGGCTCGGACTTGGCGCCCAGCGCTTAATCGCCTAGGTGAGCGCTTAAACGGTTTCTGAGCGTTTTTTTCCTTTCTTCATTTAAGTGGTGATCGATGAGGTTTTGCTGAAGGTCGGAGGAGGTAGTGGAGGTGTTCATATTTGGGGTTACAACATGTACAGGTTGCACACCAAGCTCAAGAATCTTAAGCCTTCCCTCAAAGAACTGAATAAGAGGCATTTCATGAACATCAGTGAACAAGTATCTAGAGCTAAATTGGAGTTGTATGAAATTCAATCTCAAATTAGCTCTGATTTACTCAACCCAGTTCTGATTTCTAAGGAAAAAGAGTGCATCAGAAAATTCACTAACCTACTGGAATGTGAAAACTCCTTTTATAGACAAAAAGCAAATATTAGCTGGGGATTGTATGGGGACAAGAGCACTCAATTTTTTCACTCTGTTATGAGGAATAAGTGGCACCATAATAGAGTGTTGTCTATCCACTCAAGAAATGGCTCTAGAATCACAGATCAACAAGGTATTATCTCTGAGTTTGTTGATTATTATGAAAATCTGCTTGGAACTACAGGTCCTATAACAACACCCAAACCTGAAGTTATCTCGTAAGGACCAATTCTCTCTTCTGTTCATTGCTGTGAGTTGGGAAAGCCTGTAACTAGAATGGAGATCAAACAAGCAGTCTTTACAATGCCAAATGACAAAGCCCCAGGCCCGGATGGTTATAGCGCTTCATTCTTCAAATCTGCATGGAGTGTTATTAAAGAAGATTTGTTTATGGCTGTTGAGGAGTTTTTCACCTCAGGTAAGCTGCTGGGTGCCTTGAACTCTACCTCTATAACTTTGATACTAAAAATCCTCAATCCAACTACAGCTTCAGACTACAGACCTATTTCTTGTTGTAATGTAATATACAAGATCATTACCAAGGTCATTGCTAACAGAATCCAAAAGGTCATGGGTTTCCTGATAAATGATGCCCAGAGTGCTTTTGTCAAAGGGAGGCTTATTTCAAGCAATTTTCTCCTAGCCCATGAACTAATTAAGCACTATGGAAGAAAGCACAATTCACCTAGAGCTATTATAAGTGTGGATCTTAGAAAGGCTTTTGATACTATAAACTGGGATTTCATCAAATCTATGCTAGTTGGTTTGGGTTTCCCTGCAAACATGATCGGCTGGATTTGGGAATGCATCACCACTCCTAAATTTTCTCTATCTTTAAATGGAGGGTTACATGGCTACTTTCATGGAGCTAGGGGGCTAAGGCAGGGGGATCCATTATCCCCTTATCTTTTTGTGTTGGGAATGGAATATTTGTCAAGAAGGTTATCTCTTCTCAAAGATGACAGAATGTTCAAGTTCCATCCAAATTGCTCTAAATTGAAGATTACACATCTAATTTTCGCTGATGACCTATTATTGTTTGGAAAGGCTGATTTTAGCACCATCACAAAGCTACAGGTATGCTTACAGGAGTTCTGTCAAGTCTCAGGCTTAGATGTTAATCTTGGTAAATGCTCAATCTATATGAGTGGTGTTGATGACAGTTTGAAGTCTCAGTTTTGCACTCTTCTGGGCTTTATGGAGGGGTCCTTGCCTATGAAATATTTGGGATTGCCATTAACAACAAAAAGGCTATCTCATCTTGAGTGTTCTTCCCTTATTAGCAAAATCACTGATCAATTCCATAACTGGCAGCAAAATAGGAAGCTATCCTATGCGGGGAGAATCCAGCTGATTAAAACTGTTATTTTTGGGATTCAATCTTTTTGGGTTAGCAATTATATATTGCCGATAAAAGTTCTTGAAAGAATTGATAAGCTTTGCTCCTCTTTCCTTTGGGGTCAAAAAATCCATCTGATCTCCTGGAATACAGTTTGTTTAGAGAGGATGCAAGGTGGCTTAGGCCTTTTTTCGGCAAAGGAGTGGAATAATGCAGCAGCAATTAAACTTCTTTGGATGATACATCAGAAAAAAGACCTGTTATGGGTCAAATGGGTGCACGGTCATTACTTACAGCACTCAAATATTTGGCAAGTTCAACATAGGGGCAATGATTCTTGGATGTGGAAGCAACTTCTCAAAGTTAGAAATATGTTGTTAGCTAAGTTTGGTAATGCTGAAGTATTGAGGAGTTCACTGGATGCTTGTTGTGTCAATGGAAAAATCAATATGACAGCAATCTACAATGCCCCGTATCAATCAAATATCTCAGCAGTATGGGCAGAAACTACATGGGGGAGATTGAACTACCCTAAACATTCTTTCATCCTCTGGTTAGTTAATCACTCAAGGCTCCTTACCCAGGAGAGACTGTGTAGACTGAGATTATTAGATGCAAATCTATGTGTTTTGTGCTCCAGTCAGCCTGAAAATTGCAAGCATCTCTTCTTCGAATGCCAATACTCAGCTGCTGTCTGGAACATGATGATGGACTGGTTGAGATTCACTTGGAAAACTTGTAACTGGTACTTGCTCATCCAATGGTACTCTCATAACTTGAGAGGTAAGAACTTTAAGAAGAACCTGAAGAGAATGACTCTTGCTGTTGCTGTCTATTCTATTTGGCAAGAGAGGAATAATAGAATTTTTCAAGGGAAAGCTAGGGAGCCTGCTGATCTCTTTCGAGCAATCAAGTACTCCATATATTCCAAAATACTAAACGAGGATATAGCTGTACATATGAAGGATGAACTTGTGAAGTTGTAGTGTTTTTTCTTTGGTTACCAGGTCAAGTTTCTGGCTGCCTGGTCTTTTGATGTACAAACATTTCTATATTTGACTGATGAATAAAGCTTTATTTCATTGATCAAAAAAAAAAGTTTGGAGGACGTGTAGGCTACGACACATAAAATCACAATCAAGGCCTACAGGGTGCAATCCACGTAAGCAGACAATGCTTCCCTAAACGCTCGTAAAATTTAGGTGGGCATCCTAAATATCGCCTAGGCGCTAGGCGTTAGTTAAGCGGCCTAGGTACCGCCTAGGCCTAGGCGTATGCCTAAGCGGACTAGGCGGAGGTTTTTTAAAACAGTGACGATGAATGATACGAGCAATCCCTTAATGCCACCAAACCATGTGAAGGGAGAACGTGCTGAGGAGGTGAAGGTGAAAATTTAACCATTGAAATTATAATTGTTGAGAATATAAGCTGATATGATAAGTGCATCAGAAATTGAAACAAATAGGGACAGTTCGCAACATAAAGAGGTCATTATTTGTGAATCTAAAAAATGCACAAGCTTTTAGAATGAACATGTGTGTGCGTCCACACACCCTTCACAGACCAAGAAGATGGTAAGAATGGGGAAGTAAGCATATTATTAGTTGCTCCGCCTCTGTCTCATTGGCAATTTAACTTTCATCGTAAGATCCTTCATACGCAACAAGCAAAATAAAACTAGCCAAAATTCCGGTGACAACCATGCTTTAGTTTCTTGCATAAAAAAAAAGAGGACAAAAACTAAGAAGCGAACCATGCATGTGTGCTCCTGTTCAAATTAAATTGGCATGTCTGAACCAGGAATTATACCTCTGTGGGCACTGGTGGATTAGTTGGTTTGGGCTTTTTCCTGAAGATGGGAACCTCGTCGTCATCTTCGTCGTCATCAGGGACACTGGTGACCACCTTGGCTTCATACTGATCGAGCTCATTCATGTCGAGATCTTTCGCCTCGAAAGTGATGTAATAGTTGACAGGGCAAGAGACCTCTGCATTACAGTTGACGATTCCCGTGATATCGAGACGGAGTTCCCTGGCACCCTGTAACAATAATAACAAGTTTAACAATTATTTTAAAGATCCCGTCGTAGATTCGTATTGGGGCAACAAAAAGAAGCAGCACCTCTTTCACTCTCTCTTCGTTATGCCGGTCGACGGCAAAGCGGGCATATTTAAGAATTTTCCCCCTGAACTTCGCGGAGATATTATTCATAATGGGTGTGATGAGACCGAAAGCAAAAACATTAGGGAACTCAGGAACCTCAAATCCCTATAGAAGAAGAATATTTAATGAGGAGGAAGAAGAAGAATAATAAATTAATCGGAAAATTTAATTAGAATAATCGACATATTTTAATGGATTTTTAGGGTTAGGGCTAAAGGGGGGTTTACATCGCTGCGCATGACAGCTTCTTCGTAGCGATCAATCTCTTCGGCGGTCATCATATGGAGACCATCGTTGTAGATCTCGTCCTCATCATCATCAACGCCGTAGACACGTCCCTCCTCCTGTGGCGTCACCGTCATCGTCGTCATCTTTGCCTTCTTCGCCGGAGATTCAGGCAATTCATACGTCGCCGCCGTCGACATCCTCCAATAACCCTAGCAAATAACAACCCCAATTCGATCTCTCTCTCTCTCTCTCTCTCTCTCTCGCTCTGCCCCTACTTTAAATACTAATCACGGTCACAATGACAATTTTGAATATTAGGGGCTGTTCGGTTGGGTTGTTTTTTTTGAAAGTTACTGTAGCTGTTAGGTAGCTTTACAGTACCTTTTACTTATTTACATTGTTTGGTTGTGTAAAAAAAATGCTGATGCGACAGTTAAAAATCCAATGTGGCAGCTTCTGACCATTTCTCCTCAAAATCTAGTGATTTTGGGCGAAAGTTACTGTAGCGGAGTCGGTTTTCAATTTGGTTTCCTGACTACAGTAACTTTCACGTAATGAACCAAACGGGCCCTTAGTGCCTCTCATTTGCTATAATTCCATCTCATTCGTCAAATCCTTAAAGTTGTCCCTCAGACTCCAAAGCGTCTTTGCGAATCGGTCCCTCAACACCAAAATGACCCTCATCTCAATAGGGGGGCCCATGAAGGATATTATATTATATTATATTCTACTGAGCTTATTACTATAGTATGACATATTAAATAATACAATATATAATAATTGGACAGATTATATTTATTATAATGCGATATATTATTATATAATATTTTTTATTTATTATAATATAATAAATTAACATATAATTGATTATACTATAATATATTATATGTTACTGTGTATTAAATTATAATGTATTATAATATGATATAATATTATATTGATCATTATCTAATATAATATTTATTTATAATTTAATGTAATATTTAGTTATAATGTAATGTAATTTATTATAATATATTCACATTATATTAATTATTAAAGTATAATTCATTGAAATCATTAAAAGGTATTTTATTAATTTTTATGCCACTATGTTATACTAATATAATTTAGTATCATATTATACTAACAATAGTATTATGTGTTATACATATTTACTATAAATCATGCGACTCCATTTCCAATATATTGTATAATGTTATAATATTAAATTAAAAATAAATTTACTTTGTTTTATAATATTATGAAAGTAATATTATGATAAATCATGGTAACGTAAATAAATATAGTATTTTAATAAGATGCAACCTCATTAATTATCCCGCTTAAAATTGTCTCAATCACAATTCCTAATTATCCCATTATCTCAACTATTCCATTTTATCACGTTCAAATTGTCCCAATGGGTTAAAAATTATTCTATCGGGATAGTTATCTCACTTGGCCCCAAATTACCACAACGAATAACCCCCTCCCCCCACTCGATCTCCCAAAACAAAAATTGTTATTATGATTTGAGAGATTCTATGAAGAATATTTTAGGGGTTATTGGGTTCAAATCCTAAAATTTCAGGATTTAGAATCTTATGGAGAATTCCAAATCCTAGAATTTTATACATGCCTTAAATTTTCTAAAATTTTATTTGGTTCAACGTTATTATAGGAAATCAAATCCTAAATTTATAATTTTTTGTTTGGTTCAAACCTGAAATTGTAGGATGTCAGGTTCTAAAGTTCGTAATCTATATTTTGTTGAGGGGTTGTTTGCTGACACAGAAGGTTTGGTGAGATAGAGAGCATGTTTGGCAACTTACTTAATTATTGAGGGGTTGTTTGCTGACACAGAAGGTTTGGTGAGATAGAGAGCATGTTTGGCAACTTACTTAATTATCATTACTAGGTTTTATACATGTGCAATGCACGCGCTTAAATAACATGATTAAGTATTTTGGCTTATTTTCTAACTAGATTTTGTTCTTTAGTTCCAACTTTAATAGTTTGTGCTCACTTTTGTCTCCAAACTTTAATACTGTGATCATTTTTTTTTTTTTGATTTTTGTTTAAATGGGCTACACCCAATTTAAAATTTCTTGTTTATATTTGAATTGATAGAAAGTAAATATAATTTGAAGCTAATTTAATTTTCATATTATTTTGACTGACATGAAACCAAACTTTACTTGAGAAAGTACAGTGTTACAAAAGTATAAAATTATTAAAATAGTGTTATACAAGGAAGATGGATATTTAAAACTAATAAGGTAAAAATGATTGATTAAAAATTATTAAAATAGTGTTATACAAGGAAGATGGATATTTAAAACTAATAAGGTAAAAATGATTGATTAGAAGTATGCTAAAACGATACAAAAGGGGAAGATGGATATTTAAAACTAATAAGGTAAAAATGATTGATTAGAAGTATGCTAAAACGATACAAAAGGTAATATGAAGTTTATTCCGAATCATTGATAGACTTCATAAAATTTTTAAACTAAAGATTAATGCTAACTCTAGTATACTTTTATATAATAAAAACATCCACATAAGCATATAAAAAAGTACTGAATGTTCATGAAACTCCTTCTAAATATTCCTAAGTTCACTCAAAATATTTAAACTACTATAGAAAATATTCAGAAAATATTATATCCTTCTAAATATTCCTAAGTTCACTCAAAATATTTAAACTACTATAGAAAATATTCAGAAAATATTATATTTTATTCCTTTTATTTTATTTTTTTTAAAATATTTAAACTACTATAGAAAATATTCAGAAAATATTATATTTTATTCCTTTTATTTTATTTTTTTTATTGAGCTACGATCAATTATTTTTCACCTTTATCTTTTTCCCAAATAATTCTAAACTAGTGTCTTTACCATCTACATCGATTGTGACATAAGGCTGGAGTTATATTTTTATGATGTTATCTGTTCTGGGTTTGATAATATTTTATCTTCTCGTTTAACTTTACAAAGAAGTTAAATGTAGTTATGATGTTGTGACGCCCCTGGTTTCAATAAGGCTACAGTCCAAGGTGAAACCAAAGATGTCAAACCTGCATTGCACCCACACCGTGTAATAACATGTTTCACCAATCACAGTAATATCCTCTAGTGGAGTCAAAGAGAAGTGCAGGTACAAAACATGCATAATAAGGAAATAAATACAATAGACATAAAATAGAAGAGATATCTCATAATGAAAATTATGTCTTAACTATAATACATCTGATAACTAAAATAGTGAAAATGTCAACATGAATCAACTAAAATCGTACTAAGGCACACTACCTTTACAAAATAAAATACAAAACTCTAATGTCTGAAGAGAAATAAAATTTATTGTGGAGCCTTTACTAAAAACTCATGCGACTGCGACTATGTAAGAACTTCGTCATCCTGCGACTCTCCGGTGCTCTGAGTTGTCTGAAAGGAAAGAAAATAACAAAAAGAACCACAAAAGAGTGTAAAACTTGTTTCGACAAGTTCCAATTATATTTAGCTAATATAATTTGAGATAAGTAGGATAAGTTAGCTACTATATCTCAAACTTGTTTTAATATATTTAGCTAATATATCTCAAACTTGTTTCGACGAGGTTTCAAAATAATCATTTTATATGTAGCAAATATGACTAGCACGTGTCTTAGTAGTTAATATATGAAGGTTTCTGTTATACTCAAGTACCAGCATCGTCGCCCCAAGTTCCTTTCATCGGCGGTAAGTATTAGATTTTTGGTACCGTAAAACTTATTTCGACAAGTTCCAGTTAGAACGCAAAGGCGGACCTCTGTGTTTTGAACTTGAAACGCAGGGCTCGACCTTGGCATCTCTGAATCTTAAAATGCCAGGCTTGACTTTGGCGTTTGTGAATTTTAGAACGCAAGGCTCGACCTTGGCGTTTCTAAATCTTAGAACGTCAGGCTTGACTTTGACGTTTGTGAACTTTAGAACACAAGGTTCGACCTTGGCGTTTCTGAATCTTAGAACGTTAGGCCTGACTTTGGTGTTTTTGAATTTTAGAATGCAGAGCTTAACTCTGACGTTTAAAATTAAGCCTTCCTTAGACTTATTTCGGTTTTGCACTAATTTGTTCATTTGTGTATTCGCAAGGCACTATCCCAATGAGCCTCTTTCCTTTTATCATTACTTTGGCCATGAAGGCGGCGCAGATCATAACCTAGTGTTCAGCTTGTGTCAAGAACTCCCAATTTTCCAAGATGCCAATAAAGAACGTGCGGAAGCTATCACTCAGGCCACTCCAACAATTCTTAGGACTTTGGTTACAGATGCTAGGTTCAAGACTGTGAACCACAAATAATTCCACAAGCCAACATTTCTGTTTGGAGACTCCGTCAAGAATGACAAGAACATCATGAATGACGGGGACTATAAATGGCTAAGGAAGATATTTGGAGACTCCGTCAAGAATGACAAGAACATCATGAATGACGGGGACTATAAATGGCTAAGGAAGATAAGGGATCATCATTTTTTCTTGCCCGATATGGAGAGGATGTTTCTTCTATCATATTTTCAATGCGCTTCCATCCCACAGTACATGGACTGGGCTTTTGTCAAGGAACAAGACGGGGTTGTAATTGGTACTCTGACCTTTCATGGTTTCCACACCGCAGGCTACAATCGTCAAGTGTCTGCTCTGGTACTAGGCCTATTTTCAAGGGAATATCTAATTGGTGAAGTGGCTAGTCCGGCTAACACTTTCATCAGAAGATTTATGGCAAAGAAAGGTGAATTCCCTGCACCAGTATTTATATTCCTAGGATGGGTGCATTCTACAAAAGCAGGATGGTGGACCAGGATGACCGAATTTATACTGAAAGAGTTAGAAGCTCCACTTGCTCGGTCTAGGCTTGGTTGTTCTGTGATGGCCACACGATTTGGTATTGTTCAAAGCCATTACAACTTCTTTGGTATATTGGAGAGATATAACCAAGAGACTTGTACTTTCTTCACACCCGTCGGAGAATTAGGTTTTGCTACCCATGAAATATATGAAGTCTCCGGTCTTCCTTTTGGGGACTTACCGTATGAGGAGTTCATCCCTGGGTCAAGAGAACTCAAGATTTTAAGGGAGATCAGTCCTGAGATGTATGATACCCTTTGGGAAGTGATGTGTCATTTTTATATTTGCACTCAGTTGACAGGGGCGAGAGGTGGTAGGGTTAAGCAACTAGCGTGGGTTGAGTATTTGTTCCAGAACT